TCGTGCACCATCCACCGCCCCCCCGCTCTCACCGCTCTCATCGCTTCTTCATCTCTACGCCCCCCAGTCCACCCCTGCCTTCCGCCCCCAACTCCCTAATCCGACACCAACCCTCTCCGTCACCCACACCCCCCACCCCCGCCGCCCCCCTTTCCACCCCCCCCCCCCCACCCCCCCCCCCCCCCCCCCCCCGCCTGCCCGCGCTCCACCCTGCCTTCCGCCCCAATGCGACTGTCTTGGGTCTGGGGTCGGCGGCACTGGCGGTAGCCATTAAATATCACTTATTTTATGTGAACCTTTACTGAATGGGGAGAGCAGGTTTGCACTCGATGTGCACTGCGCTTCTTTTAGGGGACGGACGTCTCTGTGGGAGCCAGTCGGGCCGCCTCCGTGCCACAGCCAAGTTCAAATCGTTCATTTACATGCTCCAGCGCGCATGGAGAACTCTCCGGAGCTGGGATGCCGGGCGTAGCGATGAGGATTACGATCGTAATCCTCAGGCACACCCAGACACACCCGAAGCCACCCAAACCCACACCGAAATTCCCCATGCTTCATCACGCGATTTTGCCCCTACACGGGTTTTGTCTTCGGCATTCGGCTCGGGCGGCGGCGGGATCATCTGCATCGCTGCCTCGCAACCGACTCCTGTCCTTGTGGTGCCCAAAAAACGAAAAGCAAAATCAAAACCAAACTGGGGCACTGCGATGCACTGGGGTACTGGATCGTTCACGCTTGGGAAGGGGGGGGCTGCCAGGGCATTCTGTTTTGCGCAGTAGCAGAACGCAAGGCTTCCGGGCATTGCTGGGGGTTGGCCGGGACTGGCCTTGGCTGACAGCACGCAGATGCAAAGTGCTCTCCGGACAGTGTGAGTACATTACTATTGCAGTACGCTCTGAGTTCAGTGGTCAAAAAGCGGGTGCAGCCCGAGTGCCTCGTCCTGCTTGGCCTCTGCCACGACCGCGCCCACGTCCTTTGTTACGTGAAAGACATCATCCTAGACTCCGCTGAGCAGGATGCAGGAGTCTGGGTATCCGGGTGTCAGGCCGGCTGTGTCTCCGAAGATGCGGGCTCTCGCGGCGGCATACTCTGCCTCCTAGGAACGCTGAGTGCTTGGAGTGCTTGGAGAGGTTCCTTTCAATCCATGCCTGTCAGCCCACCTCAGCCCACAACTCTCCGCCCCTGCTCCCCCTCTGCTCTCCTTCTGCTTCAGGGTCTTAGGAGCAGGAGCCGATGCCTGGAAGCGCGAGAAAAAATGGGGCACTGTCATAAATGTCGAAAGTGTTTTTTTCGGAGGCCTTTTTTCGCACCCTCGGGGAAGTTTCTGCTCTCTCATGTTCCGCGCCTTTTCTCCGCTCTGCTCCCCTCCTTCCTCTGCCTTCGGCCGCTGCAGCAGCTTGGGTGCCTCTATGCAGAGAGCAAAACGAGGCAACAAGCTGGAGTCTATGAGATGAGAATGTACCTTGAGCCACCTCCAATTGCCAGCAGACACTCGCAACGCCAGCTGCAAATTGCTGCCAATGGCTGCAAGCCCTCAAGAGGCTCGAGCGAGGACTTTCACACTGCTCTCGCTGCTCTGCTCGTTGCTGCGTGTGTCCGGCCTGAGAAGCTAAGATGCCGGAATGATGTGACCATATTGACCTGTCACCGCTGCTAGCTCACTGACTCACAGTGCCTGGAGGACGCTGTCTGGCTGGCTCTATCAGTGAGCCAGTCGTCCATCCTGCGCAGGCCGTCAAATGCAGCCTGCAATGTGACTTAAAGCTGCTGTGCGCCTTCTTCAAAAGGCGTCGTCGAGGAGGCAACAGTAGCAAGACAATGGAGGGGGGCAATGATTCTTGTATGCTGGTCCGCCGTTCTTGGATGCGACATGCTGCATATGCTGGTTGTATGTGCTTTGGCATCAGAGGTTTGAGCTCTGTTGAGCAAAAAGGCTGTCATACGCTGACATATATATGGGATTCTCGTGCGGCTGGCCGAACAAGGCAAAAAGGGTCTAGAGTCTACAAGCAACCTCCTACGCTTGGTGCAGCTTCGGCTTTTGATGTCACCATAAACTTGGCCATTCGGCTTCACGCCTGCTCCGCGGACTGTGTCAGATGCACGGTCTCAGTAACGCTGCTGTTAGGGAAACTTGAAGCTCGGCACCTCTGGCACAGCACGTAACATGTCGAATACAACGCTTGGCACGATCGGCCTCCGTGTAGCTATAGGGCACCTGTTCACGCAACGGTTCAACGCACTCACAAGCAATGAAGCGGTCATGCAGCATGTCTTCTCGCGATAACTCAGTGGCCTTGACGCCCTGCTTGTAGGGAAACAAGCTTTCTTGGATGCTGTCGAAGGTGTCTACAATGGACTGCTTCACTGGGTAGATGGCATACTCCTCAACGATTGCAGCTTCATGCACTGCTGGTTGGTACGAATCGAAGGATAGCCAGGCCTTAGTTACCCGCCAGCATGAAGAACAGCAGGCGATGATGGAAGTGATAATTGTGGCCTGCGTTTTCAATTTCTTTGCGCAAGGCATTCATGGAGTGATGCTTGACTAGGGCCCCAACCATACAGTCGAGAAAGGCAAAGCAGCATTTTTTGCAGCCTCCCTCCTCTTCCTTTTCTGCCACGTCTTTGCCTACAGCGAACCGACAGCAAAAAGCCTTAAAGATTTCTTTAAAGCTGGTCAGATGATTCCAAAAATCAAGGGCCACTCAGGGCTGTGTCAAATTTCCAAGGGCCCCACTGCCCTCTTCGTCTGCCATCACGGCACCACCAGAGCAGCACCTCTCATTTGGGGGGAAAAGACGTGTCTTTATGTACCATATGGCTTTATACTGTCGGAGTACGACTCGAGCGCTTTTGCTGCCTCGAGGCTTTCGAGGTGGCTCAGGAGGCGAGGCTAGATTAGGAATGCGGGCATACGGCCCGCTGAACATATGGCGGCGGTCGCAAAGCCGTGTGCAAACATGTCCCCCGCCCCAGTGTGAAAAAACACTCAGAACTGAAGCTTCGCCTCTTCTTCGTTCTTCTTCGATGCGGGGCGCTTTTTTCCGTAGGGCCCCCGTCTAAAGAAGGCGCGAAAAGGCTAGCTGTTTGGCTCTCTCAGCGCGACCGGCCTCGGCTTTCTGGGGTTGGGAAACGTCAGAAGCATCTTTGAGACAACTTGCATCATGATAGGGTTATAAGCAACAAACCAACAAATAAGTATGACTGGGTAACCATAAACTGAAACACAACGTGGGCCTGCATTTTGAAGCTATATCGAACTCATCGATGACATGTTTTACCTTTACAAGGGGAGACGGCTCCAGAGCGGCTGTCCATGCTTGCCGCAAGGGTCTTGCATGCCACACGGATGAACCAGTAGCTTTTTTCATTGCATGCCTCTCTCTGCCACTCGACCCCGTGGGTGTTGCATGTGAATAACGACTAGGGTGATTCCACACAATGGATGCCCAGGTCGAGAACATTGGGCAGTCTGCACTTCCGCACTATCTCATTGGACTGAAGCTGCCACTATAGAAAAGAAGGGACAGTGACTGACATTGCGTAGGGGAATACGCAGAGTAGTCTCCACGTAGAACGGTGCGGTGCGTTCCTCACACAAGCTGGGAAGCAATACAGGGCGGCCTCCTCCACAAAATTGTCTTCTCCAAGTAGGAGCAGGGGAAAGCATATGCAGGTCTATGTTAAGAAGTGATATGAGGAAGCTCTCGACTGTTGCTCTATACTGCTCTCGAATGCTCGCTGCCAGGTTCAGTCCGAGTCGCTGGAGCTGGAGCGGCGGCGCCTACCCTGCGAAGCACTGAAGCACAACGAAAAAACAAAGCAACCGGTCGGTTCATGCCTTGCCATTCTCCGCATAAAGATCCGATTCTCCCTTCTGCCAACTGAGGCAGGGGCCCCACGCCGCCCTGGCATGAGGCGCAAAGAATACAGTAAGTGTGACTGGCTTCGAACAGCGCCTCTCTGTGATTCTCTTTCTTTTTCCCTCGTTTTTTTTTTTTTTCTCTCTCTCTCTCTCTCTGTGATGTCATTCGAGGCTGCGTGGTTTCTGTAAAAAGATGCTGCGAAGGTCTGCAGTCCTCGAGCGCCGTCGTTGTGGGCCTTGAAGTGGGTCTGAGATGGGTAGCTGGGTTCTGTGGATTCTGTGGATGCTCTAAATTGTCAAGGCAAGGTTAGACGCTGAGCTCGGAGCGAACTGCGCCTTTCGAATCCGGGCAAGCACCACCGCTGTGGGGTCCCGCACGTCTCCGCTCAGCTCGAAGGTGTTGTTGCCGCCCGATAAGCCCATCACCTTGTGGCTTGTACCGCAGCTAGCACTGGCTTCACGTAAGTCAACTTCGGTTGGATTTGGCCATTCGGCACTCATGCGGCACTCATTCGGCAAGAGTTCGAGGGGCGTTGGATATTGGGCCAGCCGCTATAGAACATAAAATTCGCCTCGGCTTCCTGCCGAGAAGCGTCTGGAACAAGCAGACCCGGATCCGGTCTCCTTCCCCCTAACCCAACCCTTCCTTTATGCAGAACTTTGTGATGCACCCCCCCCCCCCCCCCCCCCCCCCCCCCCCCCCCCCCCCCCCCCCCCCCCGCTCCCTCCCCCCCGGCCCCCCCCGATCGCTTCGAGCAGCAAACCGATGCCGTGGAGGCACCTGTCGGCTCCAAATCCCCTGGGACCCCCCTGAGAACCGCTCTGGGACCTTATTGGACCCTTGGACCTGCTCTGGGCCGGCCCGGCTGCCGAGGCGGCGCGCGCAAGCGTTTACAATCGTTGCAATTAGCCTGGCCCGGGCACTGGTGTTGTTGTTTATAACGGACGGCCCGGCACCTCAATTGCTGGACATGCCTTCTTTTGGCATGCTATGAGCTGTTTTGCATGGCGCATGGGAATCCTGCCTTCACAGGGCATAGGCTGGTCGAGGACCGGAATCGCTCGAAGCTAGCTTAGGAAACTAGAAGCTCGTGGTCTCAGGCTGTTAAATAGCTTGCACACAGCTTAGCAGCTAACTAAGTGGCGCCTTGCAGGCCAGTGAAGAGTCCAGATCTCGGAGAATCTTTTCGCATCGCTCTTCCAGCTTGTTCACCTGGCAACACAATCGTGAGACATGAGCGCGACCCAATATGTTCGCCAGAGTCCCTATTGCCTTTCCACAGTAGGGAGCAGTAGATAGACCCTTTATGACCCTTTCTTAGGAATACTCGCAGTGAGTGCAGCTCACGTGAGCTCCCTACAGCAGAAAGTCAAGACATCCAACATCCTGCGCACCGGTTCAGGCACGTGCTGAAATGTGCTGAATGCCCACTTGGCCCTCCGCGCTGCCTTTACAAAGCGATCAATTTCTGCGTCGACGTCCAGTTTGTCCTTGATGAGACTGCTGCTGAATTACCACTTCGGCTAAGCTCTGCTGGCACACACAGATTACGACCTCAAAGGGCCTTGGTCGTGTAACATGAGACGAGCCATTGCAACGCAACACTTTCGGCTGTTCAATCTGTTCAAACGGTCCTCCCGCTCCCGGCGCCGCCGCTTCCGTCGAGGCCGTGGTGAAGGCGAGTAGCTGTACCTTGGCTTCAAACTCCAAGATGCGGATTAAGGATCCTGAAGAATGTTGGGAGCTGTGGAGCTGCTTGGAGAAGAGGTTCGAAAACTTCTAAACACTAGCGAAACAGCTAAACATCCCAGACGTTCTTTGGGAAATACTGGGGTCTGGGCGAGCTCGGGCTCGGCCGGCGGCGGCGCCGCCTCCGCTTGACGGGCCGCTTGCGCCTCTCAGAGAGATACCTTGTTACTAAGGGCGAATCTAAGTCGTCAAAACGGCAGAAATTCAGGCAGGTGCAGGCTCTGGCCTGCGCCTCGGCCGCGGTGTTGGAGTTCTGGAGTAGCTGTAATCCGAGTAGTCCTGAGTTCTCCGTTGCCTGAACCTGAGACCTGGCGTGAGCGTAAATGAGCCAGGAGGCATCTCCGCCATCCGACTCCACCTGTGATGCAAGGCAGCAAGCACCGATGCAAGCATCAGCAATGCTCAGCAAATCTCGGCAACCCATCTGACACGAGGCCAAGTTGAGGCAATGCCAGGCAATGTGTACCATCAGCATGGGGCCTTGCTAGACTTCTTGCGCCGCTTCTCCTCGCCAGGACAACAGGGACCGGGACGATCGGCAAATCGGCAACTGACGACGTCTTTCGACACGTGGGGTCCCAAGGCCTCTCGGCCCTTCTTGTCTTTGGCCTTGCTCTTCTTGAGTTTCGCCTTCTTCTTTCCCTGGCCGCAAGAAGGGCATAGCCATAGATTCCGAGAATATGCCACTTTCCGAATATCTTCAGACAAGCCCTCTCCAATCAACGGCCTTCATTCTAAAACATTGTCTCTCCTCCACACCTCCAGTTACCTCTGCACTCCCACTTTTGGGCTGAAAGGAATGGCTTTGGTGGGTGCAGCTTCTGAGCCCCTCATCTTTCAGTCACTAGTCGCTACTGGCGCTATCATGCTCTCTGCGACGGCGATGATCCGGTAGTCGTGGAATTCCTCCCAGTCCTGGCCCTCCCGGTCTCGCGTCTGGTGGTGGCCATGCTGTCGTGGAAGACGTGGCTCCAGCTCTTGCTTCCATCGTTTCGCTCCCGCGCAGTGTGCGCCCGGGCGACCACCTGTTCCAGCATGCCCGCCACGTGAGCTCATCAAGGAGAGCAATGGCTTCACGGCATGCTCTGTCCCCTCTTTGCCCTCTTTCTCTTGCTTCCGTTTCTGCTTTGGTGGTCGTGAAGTTGCTGGCAGCTGTGTCTGCGGCTGTCTTGAACATCGTGGCCATGGTTTGTAAGATTTTGTCCTGAATTGGACTTCCTCCCGTGTAGCTTCGGGTTGCCGCGGGTAGGGGTTTGCTAGCAGGTGGGCTTGGTGGGAGGACTGGTTGTGATTGGCCTTCCAACAACACCTCCCAAACATGGGACTCCCCACAAATGCAACAAGGAGAGATCATTCGGGCGTTGATTGCGCTGGGCATGGAACGCATGGACCAGGTCCGTCACAGACTGGCAAGCCTGGAGTGAAGGCGAAGCGGCAGCACTTGCCCTCCACATCACCCACGCCCTAGCCCAACTCAGAGAGAGGGGGTTGTCACATCGGAAGCCCACAACCACCTGCTCACCTGCTCACCTGCCCAGCAACCACCCCAGCGAGAACAACCGCCACCATCACAACCACGGCGCGTAGTTTCCATCCCCGCAGACGTACTCAACCTAGCGGAGTCACCGAAGCAGCACAAGCAGAAGACCACAACAGCACCGACAACTTGCCGGCCCACCAGGGCTGTTGTTTTCATTCGTCTCGCATGTCTTGGCACAAACTGCATGTCTCACGGCACTACTCGAAAAGTTGTCTCCCTTCTTTGCGAAGTGAGCGCACCCTTGATACCATGACACCCGTCTGGGACTCTGTGTGTGTGTGTGTCATTTGTCTCCCACTTATCTGCCCTTTGTCTCCTCGGTAGAAAACCCTGGATGCTGTGACGCGCGTCTGGAATTGTTTGATGCTTTTGTCGCATGCTGCGGGTTCAAAAACAGTCTCCTGTGCCGTCTTCCGAAGGATGAAAAGCAATGGTCCTGTGGTCCTCAATTTCTCCTTGGGGTGGAGGCTGGGTGTGGAAACGCTTCCTCTCGTTATCGTCCGGCTGAATGTCGCGTTGAATGCAGATCTGGACGGCAGCTCTGCGCCGGCCTTCTTGCCGTCGACTTCCTCCTCCTCATCCTCGGAAGCCTCTTGCTCTTCATCTTTTCCGCCCTTCGTCACAGGCACTGTCTGCCCCATTCCCCAATCAGAAATGCAACGACGGATACTCACCCACATCTCAGCATCGCGAAAAGACAAAAAACATACACCGTGCAGTACCAGGCACACGTCAATCCCGAGACGTCGTACAAGAGGCAGCAAACCGTGCACAACACCAAGGCCAGGCCATCACATCCACCAAAGGCAACACAAACATACGGCATTCTCATCGCGAGGCAGACGATCCTGGTCCTTGTCCTTATCTTTGTCCGCATTCCCTGCGGCCTGAAGCAACTGCGCAAACGCACGGCATGCCACCGGCCACAACACAGCAATGAGTCAATGAGCATCTGCACATACATTCACGTTCACGCCTCAGTCTGCTTTTCAGCCTCAGTGCCAGCTGAACAGCCCTTCGACTCACAGCGGCTACAAGCAATGTCTGAAGGGCTCACGATGTACTCCAGGGAGGCCACCACAAGCCTGCGCCCGGCAGACCACAAATCAGCGGAATCAGCGCCACGCGTCGGCACTCCGTCGGCATTCTGCGTGTTCACCACGTCTTTTGCCTGTGCAGCTCCTCAGCTCTGGGCACCTCACCATCCTGTCCAAAGGGCCATCTCAGCCCAAAAAAGGTGGGTCAAGTTGTGTCAGGACAGAAGCCGCTCTGCAGTCTTTTTGTTCTTTTTGTCAACTTTTACATTGGTTCTATTTTCTATAGCTCTCGGTCTCTCTCTCTCTCTCTCTCTTGCTGTCTCTCTCTGCTGTTCTCTCTGCAGCTGGCCTCCTTTGGGATCTTTGCTTCGAGCTTCGAGCCCTGGCAGGCAAATCTCCTCTTGCTCACTCGCAGAATATGCACGGCTACTGCATGGCTCCTGGTACTTCGCATTGCAGTCGGAAGTGGCCTGGAGCAGCTTTGCGTGCTGCCGAAGAAGCCCGCAGATCCGCGTCAGCTGCTCCTTCTGCGCCTCGGCCATTCGAACGATTCGAACCCTGATAGAGAGGAGCAAGTCATGCAATCGGAAGTCTGCAGAAGTGATCTTCCAAAAGGAGAACCTCGGAACTTCACTACCACGTTAAACTGCCACGTTGACCCTCTCCCGCTCCCTCTGCCGCCTTGGCCGTGCTCACCAGCTCCTTGAGGCGATCCCAGGGCTCCTCTCAAAATGCGGAAACGTAGGCGGAAAAACAAAACACTCAAGAGAAGACTTCGCAAACGGCGGGGAAAATAATGGTCAACGCCCGGAGCGTGGAAAATGGGGGCAGAGAGTCGAGAGGAAACAAGTGATCTCGCAGTTCTGGTCTGTGGAGGGGGGGAGCATGTAGGTTGGAGATGATCATGATGAGGCGTTGGTTCTTCCATGCGCACTTCGCTGCTTGCTTGTCGTTACCTGTACTGCAAGATGCGCTCTGTGCATCCTCTCGTGAGACCATCTTAAGGAGACATCATTGGACCTCTCTGGTTCTCGCAACATCGTGTGATGGTGGTTTTGCATTCAAGAGACTGTCATGCCTCATGCCTCTCTCTTTTGGGAGTCGCTCCGAGTAATTCGCCTCGGCTTCCTGCCGAGAAGCGTCTGGAACAAGCAGACCCGGATAGGGCCTCCCCCCCCAACCACTATTCCAAATTTTGTGATGCCACCGCCCCCCCCCCCGCCGCTTTGTGGGACCCCCCTCCCCTCCCCTACCTCCCCCTCCCCTACCCCCCCCCCCCCGAACCCCGCTGCCCTTCCTCCCCTTTTTTTGCGAAACCCTCTTTCCTCCTTTCCTGTCCTGGGGCCGCCCCGGCTGCCGAGGCGGCGCGCGCAAAGCGTTTACAATTAAGCAAGGACCGGAGGAAAGGACGAGAAAGGGCTTGGCTATTGCGGAGCTCCTCTCCAGAAACCTCGAGAACGTCGGCAAGGGCTTTGGCCTCCTGAGCCATACATACGCTCTCAGGATGCCACCAACTTGGGGGCATTTTTTTTTCATTTTTTTTTTTTTTCTCTCTCTCTCTCTCTCTGTCTCTTCCTCTCTTTCTCCCCCTCGGGCCTGCTGCACGGAGGAGAGCCTGATGCAAAGCAACGGTGGAGTCACTGGCATTACTTGAGTGACCTGTACCCCGATCAGATCCTCCAGAACCTCCAGATCCTGTGGGCTTCGAATCAACTGCTTTGAGAACATCTCTCCCGCAGGCCAACCGGGGATCGCCAGAGTCAGAAAGTGACAAAGCAAAGAAAAGCTTACAACTATATCGTGCTCAGGGCCTTTTGGGCCTCTTGGGATTCAAAAGGGTGCAGCGCCTCACCAAGCTCAAGGGGACCACAAAATCAACACAAAAGGATTCAACCAAGAAGGCCTCCTTGTTCCAAGGCATGTATAAACATTCCTTGCTTTTTCTAGCCTACAGAAATGACTTCTTGTCGAGCTGTGCTGGCACATGCTCATACAGGAGGCTCTCCACAAAAGGCGCTCAATCCAAACAAGAGTCACAAGAGATCGTTTGGGGTCCCGGCTGCGCACGCCGCTCCTCTTCCAGCTGCTGAGTAGCGAGGGCGCGCTCCTCTGCAAGACGGCCCGAGCTGAAAAGTCAGCTGAAAAGTCAGCTGAAACAGCTGAAAAATGATGAAAAGGATCCCGAAAGAGAGATTTCATGTTAAGTTCTCTCCCTGATGTGGCCGATGTGGCCTCAGAGCTCCAGGATCGCAGCTCTTCCTTGAAGTTGTCAACGCAAGAAGCGAGATTTTTCCAGACCAGAACCTGCAAACTTCACGCACAGCTGTGTCGGATGCCAACATAGCATCTGAACCTCCGTCATCCCAGGGGCTTCCGGGGCTTCCCTCGGCGCATCGCTGTTCGCTAAGATTTGTCTGCATGCAGTCCTACTGGTCCTACTCGTCCTACTCGCTGGGGGCCCAGCCGTCTGCCTCTCACGGGTAAAGCCCTCCCTTACCCCGCACCGCGGAGTGTGCTAAGGACATTGACATGCATGATGCAACGTGATGTGACATGGACGCCATGCATGAAGCCACATCTCATTGTTACAAAGAGATGTAAAGCAAGGTGCTAGGATGTTGCGAGGATGCTGCAGATTCTGAACTGGAAATGACTGGACTTGCCTACGCGTGACCATCTTCTCCCTCCAAAGCTCCAGCTCCAGAGCTTTGATCCAAAGAGGGGTGCCAGCATGTGCCAGCGCAGGTTGCAGACATGGCCGGCCCAAGGCCTAAAATTGATGGAGACGCAGAGGGGACAGGGGACTCCCGGCTCCAGTGCCAGTAAAGAAGGCAATTTGGCAATCAGGCAACATCAGCTGTCTTTGGGCGACGTTGATGGGGCGCTGCCCCGGCGCCATGCAGCCGTGCCACCTGGCAACATGGCGATGGAATTTTCAAACGCACCAACTGGCAATTCAGATTGTCTTTCCCTGAGTTTGGGCGATTGATGCCGCAGTTGTTGCAGAGGTTGTATAGGAGCTCTTTTTCCACGGCTCTCCCATCTGAATATGGGTGCCAAGCCTTCCCAAGTGTTCGAGCTCGTGGATGCCCATCATCTCAAGGCACGTGCTTTTGCGAATCTTTGTCATTCAGAGTGAGATCCCCGATATATAGTTGCTTGGCTTAATTCGCCTCGGCTTCTTGCAGAGACATGTCTGGAGATCCTGCGGTGTTTTTTGGCACCCTATAGGACCCCCTTCAAACCCTGAACGCATGATCTGCATGGTGCTGCGCTAAATTCGCCTCGGCTTCCTGCCGAGAAGCGTTGGAACAAGCAGACCCGGATCGGGCCTCCTTCCCCCCTGACCCAACCCTTACTGTAATTTGTGACGCCACCCCCGTGGGACCCCCGCCGATGGCTTGGGGCAGCTGCAAACCGATGCCTGGGGGGTCCCGCCTGGGGCACTCCAAAACCATCTTTTTTGAGAATTGTTGGGACCTTTTTTGAGGACCCCGCCCTGGGACCCCTGAGACCCTCTTGGGTCCTTTTGGGAGCCCTGCTGAGACGCAAACGCCTGGAACTTTTTTTTGCAAGCCCTGGCTTGGCTGCCGAGGCGGCGCGCGCAAACGATTACAGTTGAGGACATGTGGCTTTCCTTCGTCTGCGATGCGCGAGCTGCATCCCTCGTTGGGCCACCGAGGCGGCACTCACAAGCGTTTACAATTGCGATTGAGAATGTTGCAATCCACTCGATTGACTTTATCACTTTATCTATTCGCCTCGGCTTCCTGCCGAGAAGCGTCTGGAGCAAGCAGACCCGGATCGGGCCTCCCTCCCCCTGAACCCAACCCTTCCCCACGCAAAATTTTGCGGCGGACCCCCCCCCCCCCCCCCTGTGGGACCTCCCCCCATCGCTTGGAGGAGCTGCAAATCGATGCCGTCGGGGGTCCCGCCTGTTGAAGGTTTTTACAGAGGGCCAAAATGCATTGGTTGATATAAAAATAGGTAGACAGAAAGCATATTGCATGCGTTTTGCTTTTTGTATTCTGTGTGTCTGTGTCTCTGTCTGTGTCTGTGTCTGTGTGTGTGTGTGTTCTCAGCATGTGCAAGTGCAGAATATTTGAAGTTCCTATCCAAACTTGGACATGTCATAAGCTTCACACTTATGGCATATGCGATGTGATTATGCATCTTCTCAACCTGCGGCATTCTGTGCTACTCGGCATGTCACACACACACACACACATTTCACACTCCCGCGCAACGCATTAAATCAAGCATTACTAACATGGTAACATGGAGTTGTGCAGCGACCGCTGGATGAACATGAAGTAAACGAATGCCTCCACGCTCAGGGCCTTTTGCCAAGTTGGGGTGCTCCTTGGGAGGACAATAGAACCGAAAGAGGAAGCCAATCTCAAAAAGGCATCCCGAAAAAATGGCAAGCTGCGTGTTTGCTGTGGCAAGCTCTCTTCTTCTCTCTGTCGCTCTGTCAGGCGCCTCTCTCATATCCAAATAGTCCACAAGCTGATGCGCACCAGGGCCATGACGAGGACTTGCCCTCGGAGCTGTTTTTGAGCCCTCGCCACACCGCCTCACATGCGGAGTGCATCGAAAAAGCTGGATAAGCTGGGAGACAGCTTGAGGCCAAGTTGTCTTCAAGGCTGGGGCAAGTGGGCCTGCAGGTGCTTTTGCACCTCGAGGGCTTCGCTTCCCTCGCTCCCCTCGGCGCCCCTGTGCGTGGGCAAGAAATAAATTAGATCAGCATGATTAGCAAAGGCAAAAGGCAGAAGGCAGTGGAGGGTCACGTCAAGCAGTGAGGCACAAGTTGGCACAAAAGCGGCCTCGCGGGGGCTGCGTCTGCATCAGTGACCTGGGTCGAACACACTGTAAACTTTTGTAAACTGTAGCTTCGCATCCTCTGAGGCTCCCGAGGCAGGGGCGAGGCAGAAGAAGGGCCTTCGCTTTTGTCGCTGCGTTGAGCCCGATGAGCTCGCTGGTGCTGAACTTGGCCGTGCTGAGCTCGCTCGTGCTGAGCTCGCTCGTGCTGACTTTGGTCGCTCTTGCTTGGTGCTCTGCGAGAACTGCGAGAACTCTGCCTGCTGTTGGGCCTGTCGCGCACTTCGCTGGCTTTGCCACTTGCGATTTCGTTCGTGGAAGCGGGCAAAGGCATCGTCCACCTCCTTTCGGTGCAGTTTTCTCGGCGTTCTAGGACTGATTGCTGAGGCTGCTGAGGCTGCCGGGAGCCCTGTGGAGCTCTCCGTGTCTGTGCCTTGGTGACTTTGGTGTTGCCTTTGCTGCCTTTGGCGGTCGCGCTTCTCCCTCAGCGCCTCCTGCCAACGCAGCTGCCGGTCGTACAGGGCGCGTGCGCTGTGCGCGCTGTGTGCAAGCCACTGGGGGCCGGCATCCATCGACGCAGGCGCGGCCCCAGTCGCCCCGGTCGCCCTCGTTCGAGGCATCCGAGTCTGAGGCTGAAAGGTGCATTCCTGCAACTCCATGTCCCGCTGCCGCTCTCGAAGCTGATGCTCTTTTGCCCGCTTCTCTTCAAGCCAGCGTTGGCCGCGCGTGTGCAGATCAATACCTTCGCCGAGACCTTCAGAGGATCCAACACTATGGGCGAGACCAAGACTTGGGCACGACAGGCCACACGAGGCGCGCGAAAGGCCCGCCTGCCGTGCGTGGCGTCCTCCGCGTTCCATGCGTTCCTTCCTCGGTGGCATGGGCGAGGAGGGCGCAGAGGGGGAAGAGGGGGACGGGGGGGAGGACGCGAGGACATGCTCCAGGCGGCGGAGCGCCATGTCACGCTGGCGGCTCCGAACGCTGGCGCGCTCCCACCAATCGCCCATCCGACCCATCCGACCCATCCCCAAATCCCCGAGCGAGTCGAAGCTCCAGGTGGGGAGCGGCTCGCGGGGCAGCTTCGAAGACTTCAACCCCTTCGCCGTGAGCTGCATTGTGCGCTCCGGCGCCATGAAGCTGAAGTCTTCGAAGTCGCTCTCCGCACCATCCGCGCCATCCGCACCATCCGCACCATCCACACCCGGGTGCTCCTCCCGGTGCTCCTCAGAATCGAGCTCGTCGCTCAGCGCTGTGAGCTCGTGACCTGGGGAGCCATCGCACGAGCCATCGCCTTCGCGCGATGAAGAATGCAGTGAAGGAGGCACGGAAGGTTGCTCGCCCGTTGCCTCTTCCGGCAGCTGAAACAAGGACGGCGTCACTGGGGAAAGCCGGAGTTGGAAGTCTGAGGCCGTTGGGGCTTCGTCAGCTTCGTGGTCAGGGTCCCGGTCCACCCGGTCCTGGACCTCCTCCACGTGCCCCACAGGCCCCACGGGCCCCACAGGCCCCAGAAGCCCCTTGCTCCCAGTCGCTTCTTCCACTTTGCACGTGTCTATTTCGGCGACATCAGCGTCGAAGATCGCAAGCCGGAACTCGACGTCCGCTGCCCAACGCTTCCAGCGACTTTGGTAGTCGAGGAGGGGATCTACTGGATCCTGCAGATCCTGCTCCGCCTGCCTCTTCGACTTTGCCAACGTCTCTTCTCTGCGTTCTTCCTTCCGATCCTCCTCTCCCTCCTCTCCCACCTCATCCTTCTGAGATCCTCCTTCTAAGCCATTGGCTCCTTTCTTGGCCTCTTTGCTTGGCTCCGCTGGCAAGCGAAGCTTCGGAGGCACTTTTCTCGGCAAAGGCACAAGAGCCTGGCAGGCCTGCTGCAGGTGGCGTCTGAGCGCAAGGGCAGCTGACGTTGGACCGAACATGTCTCAAAAATCTCGAAGAACCTGATGCCCTCACAAAGACTGTACAGACAAAGGCTGAAAGTGCTTGACGCTCTGTGCCTGGATCTCGCGCAAGGGCCGTCGTACTTCCAAACCTATCACAGGGAGGGCGAGGGAGTTGGCGAAGGTGGTGCAGTGCTCCCAATAAAGAATCACAGTGAACATTGCACAGGAGCACATGTTTAGCATCATTGTACATGAATACATATATATGCTCACCCCCCCAATGGACCAACCGCGAATGAAAAGGACAGGAAAAACTAGTTGTTTAGTTGTTTTTGTCGTGCTTTGTGTTTTCTTGCGTGTTTTGCCTTATTTCTTGTGCTTTTTGTGCATTTCGTGCATTGTTGCACTTTTCTGGTGTTTTTTGCACTTTTGCACTTGTTTTGCTTTTTTGCACTTTTGCACTTTTTTGGCTTTTTACACTTTTTTGGCTTTTCGCACTTTTGCACTTTTTTTGGTTTTTTTGCATTATTTTCATATACTGTGTTTTTTTCTATGCTTGTCTTATGCATAGAAATCCCAAAATCCAAAAATCCAAAAATCCAAATATCCAAACATCCAAACATCCAAATATCCAAAAATCCAAAAATCCAAAAACCCAAAGTTCTCCGGACAATCTCCCAGGAAACTTTGGATTTTTGGATTTTTGGGTTTTTGGGTTTTTGGACTTTGGGATTTTTGATGATTTTTATGTTTTTTTACATTCGAGGTTGGCTCATATTCGTTCTCCTTTTTTTTGAATGAAAGGAGGGCGACCATTCAAATGTACCCTTATCAGAATTTCAAATGCGTCTTACCTACTCGAAACGTGAACACTACATTCATCGCACAACTAAATAGCATATTCAATAAGATTTTGAATATGATGTTTCTGTATATGAGGACCAGGTAAAGTCTTGCCTATTCAAATCACTGAGAAAAGCACGTACATGGGTTATGCACAGGCCTTTGCCAAGGAGGCTTTAACAGAGAAGGCCTATATGTGCAAATATCGACTTTTGCATTTGAAAGAAGCTGAAATATCCTTTTTTTCAATAAGAACCATTCTGGGATCACAGTACCTGCTGTTTAAGAAAAAGTCTATATCTCATGCACACCCTTTCTTTGCGATAACGATTTAGTTCTTCTGATCTTTTAATTCAAGCTCTTAATATTGCATTGCCCCCTGTGATTATTGCAGCAAAGCCTGCTCGAATCGCATTAACGTCTTAACTACTCGATTGAAAACTGTATCAAAAAACTAAGTAGCCTGTTCAAGCAGCCAATAAGGTTTTGAGAACATCCTACTCGAAAAGCCAACAAGAGGTTGAGCAGAAGAATTCAAGACAGTACTAGGGCTTGGGTCCAATACAGGGCTAGTGAACTGTCCCAATGGACCAACCGCGAAATTGAAAAGAAGTCCAAAAGTCCAAAAGTCCAAAAATCCAAAAATCCAAAAACCCAAAAATCCAAAAATCCAAAGTTTCCTGGGAGATTGTCCGGAGAACTTTGGATTTTTGGATTTTTGGATTTTTGGACTTTTGGAGTTTTAGATTTTTGGGCTTTGTGCTTTTTATGTTATTTGTGCTTTTTCATGTTTTTTCGTGCTTTTTTGCACTTCTTGCACTTCTTGCACTTTTTGCACTTTTTTGCACTTTTTTTGCACTTTTTTTGCACTTTTTTGCACTGTTTGCACTTGTTTGCACTTTTGCACTTTTTGTGTACTTTTTGCACTTTTTTGTGCTTTTTGCACTTTTTGGTGCTGTTTAAATTTCGCAATATTTTTGCAAATATTTGTCCTCTTGAATGTGCTTTTCCAATCCAAAAAATCCAAAGATCCAAAAATCCAAAAACCCAAAAACCCAAAGTTCTCCGGACAATCTCCCAGGAAACTTTGGGTTTTTGGATTTTTGGACTGTTGGACTTTTGGATTTTTGGATTTTTTGGATTGGAAAAGCACATTCAAGATGACAAATATTTGCAGAAAAAATGCGCAATTAGAAAAAAAGCACCAAAAAGTGCAAAAAGTACAAAAAAGTGCAACAAGTGCAAAAAGTGCAAAAAAGTGCAAAACGTGCAAAAAAAAACAGAACAAGGCACAAAAGAACACACAAAGCACAAAAAAACACGAAACAAAAACACAAACCATGCACAGGAAACACAAAAAGCACAAAGAAGTGGACAGGGAAAGCATGGCAGGGTACAGTGTCTCGAGAACCTTGGACATGTCGATGTGGGTCCATTGGGGTTAGAGGTTGGTCCATTGGGGGGGGGCGACCATATATATATATATATGTACGACGGACCCTTTATGTACTATTTGATGGTTCCTGTCCCCCTTTCAAATTTTTAACGGTGTTAAAGATTTTAAGGATTTTAGCGCCTTTAAATTCCTGAAAATCCTTGAGATTTTGAAAGGGCTCTGGCTTTTAAAATTTTAAGGATTTTAAGGATTTTAAGGCCTTCTAAATTCCTTAAAACCCTTAAAATTTTGACAGAAAATTAAATTATTTTGGGAAAGGGTCCGGGCCTTTTAAATTTGTAAACATCCTTAAACTTAAAACCCTTAAAATCCATAAAATTTTGAAGGCACGCCGGGCCTTTCAGATTTTTAAGGATTTTAAGGCCTTTCAAATTCCTGAAAATCCGTAAAATCCTTAAAATTTTGACAGCCAGAGGCCTTTCAAATTTTTAAGGAGATTTTTTAAAAATGTAAATGGGCCAGGCCTTTCCCCAAAATAATTTTCAGGATTTTCAGGTTTATTCAGGATTTTCAGGATTTTAGTGCCTTTTAAATCCCTTAAATTGCTGAAAATCCTGAAAATTTTCAAGGCCCGGGCCTTTCAAAATTTTAAGGATTTTGAGGATTTTAAGGCCTTGAAAATTCCTTAAAATCCTTAAAGCCCGGGCCTTTCCAAATTTTAAGGATTTCAAGGATTTTGAGGCCTTTTAAATTCCTTAAACTCCTTAAAATTTTGAAAGAAAGTTAAATTATTTTGGGCAAGGGCCTGGCCCATTAAAAATGTTAAAAATCCTAAAATCATTAAATCCCAAAAAATTTTGAAAGGCCTCTGGCTTTCAAAAATTTTAAGGAATTGAGGATTTTAAGGAATTTACAAGGCCTTAAAATCCTTAAAATCCTTAAACTTTTGAAAGCCAGGGGCCTTTCAAAATTTCAAGGATTTTAAGGATTTCGAGGAGTTTAACATTTAAATTGGCCAGGCCTTTCCCCAAAATAATTTTCAGGATTTTCAGGGCTTTCAGGATTTTCAGGATTTTAAGCCCTTTAACAACCCTTAAATTCCTTAGAATCATCAAAATCCTTAAAATTTTGATAGCCAGAGGCCTTTCAAAATTTTAAGGATTTTACGGATTTTTTTCACTTCTACATGGGCCACGTCTTTTACGAAACTTTTCCACTTCAAGCAAAAGCGCCTGTGTCATTGCACTGTCGTTGGAAAACACATCATGTCATGCTAAAATCCTTTCAGGAGAAAAAAGGGGTGTCCTACTGTACTTTCACCTTTTGCACCTCTCCTTAGGACATTCGTCTTATCGACGGGTGGACTACAGAATCCGCAAGATCTGTACAAGAAAATCTCCACCACTAGCATTCTCGGTCAAACTCGAGAGGTACTTCAAACACAATGCTCCAGATTCCAAATCCCTGTGCATCTTCCTCATTCGAGGATGGAAACAGTTGAACTTGCAATCTTTGATGTTTAAACACGACTTGACGTCGCAAAGCTCACATTGTCACACTCACAGGTCACATGAGCTCGTGGCGCGGCATCAGGCCATCTCACCCCATCTGGAACCACTCATCACGGGGTACACTGCCTGCATGGTTCATATCCTTCTCGCTGCGCTTGCTCTCGGGTGAGCAATCGAACATGTTGTCCATCACGATGCGCCTTTCGCACCATTCCACACATCTGACTGTGGAACCTTTGGCCGGTGTAGCCAGTCAGCGCCACCCGTCTTTGCATCCAACCATGTCCCACTACAGGCACAGGCTGCGCTTGCAATGGTACTTCAGCTTCAGCATGTAGCTGAGGTTCATGTAGCCGAGGTTCATCTCCATGTCGCCGAGGTTCTTCTCCATGTCGCTGAGGTTCTTCTCCACGTCGCTGAGGTTCTTCTCCATGTAGCTGAGGTTCTTCCCCATGTAGCTGAGGTTCTTCTCCATGTCGCTGAAGTTCTTCTCCATGTCGCTGAGGTTCTTCTCCATGTAGCTGAGGTTCTTCTCCATGTCGCTGAGGTTCTTCTCCATGTCGCTGAGGTTCTTCTCCATGTCGCTGAGGTTCTTCTCCATGTCGCTGAGGTTCTTCTCCATGTCGCTGAGGTCCTTCATGCGCTAGGTCCGCCAATGCTGCCATTTCACGCAGCCTTTCCATCCTTTGACTTTTGCTCAGCACTCTCCATGCCAAGCACATCACGTTCAGCGCTAGCAACATGCCCGCAGCCATCAGATCAGGAGCACGCCAACCCACTGGCCGATTTTGATCTCCAGACTCAAGGCGCTCATGATTGTTATTCCAGTCTGTTCACTCTCATGGCCTTCCACAGGGATCTCCCTCGCACTCGCACTCCGCATGGCATCCATCATCACCAGCAAGCGGATCACCTTGGAGTTCATCTGCTCATACTTCAGCCGGTCCTTGTTCAAGCACTCGAAGCCACCATAGCCCAGGCGGCTCATCAAAAATCGGCTAGCGCCTTTGTACCTATGTCAGCAGTATTTAGATACGTAGACACTGCGGCCAATTCCAAGTTTCCCTTTGCACCCATAGCAGTTTGGTTTCCAGATGACGCACTTTCGATACGCCACGCTTTTGGAGCAGTGATCGTGCGCTAGACGAGTCTAGCCGGCAAAGCAACCGACAGGATGTACTTGAGAGTGTTTTGATCACATGCCCCACATACAGCAGTTCAGCAGCCGTGGAACAACATGCCATGAGCTCAGCTGCGCACGATGAAAGAGAAATCGAGCCTTGCTTGCGTACGAAGCAGAAGCGCGCGTTGCCATTCACATATACGTGGCCACATGTAGACGACACCCTCGTCCAATGGCCTGCCCAGTCGCTATCGCTCATGCCTTCAACCAAATCAGGTTCGCCACTCTTTTCAAGCCTTAGCCTTGTTGCTTCTTCCCGACTGAGCTTTCTTTCATCTAAACTTGACCTTCCCGGATACGTCCATGCCAACGTGTGAGACATGCATCAGCTGTGGCCAACAAGTACTCTGCTAAGTGACAGGCATGTTTCCACATACGCTTCGTTGGCCGACTCATCGACCTTGCCAAGTGTGCGATGGTCCACCGTGCATCTGGCCTATCGGGGCTGAGGTACAAGAAGCTTCCGACTGCCGCTCTGAACTTCGAAGCCTCCAAGTCCTGCAAGGGCTCGGACTCATCCATCTGGGCAATCTCTGGACTACACGGCGTTTTCCTTAATATCCCCCTTTTCAAGTCCAGCACACCACAAATTTTCTCCAGGTACTTCTTGTCGACTCTCACCTCAATGCCAGACTCGGTGATGATCAGCTCTTTCTTCAAAAACTTCAGGCTATCACCTATATTCTTTACGGGCTCTGAGACTTCCAGCTTGTACTTCCTCTCCAGGATTTCAGTTACCTTGCGTGTACTCTCTGGGGTTCCAGCTAGCAAGCCATCATCGACATGAACTGTTGCACCCAAACCTGGCTGTCCAAACGCTGCAGGACATGCTTCATCTGGCACCAAGCCAGCCGTAGCCAGGTCTGCAGCCAGCTGTTCTCCCCACCGCGCAGACGCTGCCTGTTGTCCTGGCAAGCAACGATGGACCCTATACGGAGATCCGTCCAACATCACATAAAGCTGCTTCACCTCGAGGAACGCGTCTTTCACATCGAAGCTAACCATTTGCCACCCTGCTCGGGAAACCATGAGGGCCGGCAACAGCTTTGCGATTGATGGATTGGTGCTTGGGGCATACACGTCTGTCCTGTTCGGATCCCAAAACTTCAGCTGCTTACACACTAATCTCGCCCTTCTCTTCCACTTCGCCTCACGGTACCGCCAGTCCATCACATGCTTCGTCTGCAATAGCTCGGCTGCCTCAGGCAAGGACGCTACCTGCTCCAACACTCCCATGTCCAGGAGTCGGTTCACTTCTGTCTTCCTGCTCTCAGCATCTACTTGCTCCATTTCATGTTCCGACAGTTCTGGAGGCCCTTCATTCTCAGTCCTGCTATGCCATAACTTTCCCCAATCGAGGCTTTCTTCTTCCTCTTCTTCCTCAGACCAAATCCCCCACTTTTCCATGTCGCCCCACTCCTCTTCTAGGTGCTCATCTAACACATAGTACTCAGCATCTGCTACTTTCACAGTTGAAACCCTGGAGGTCTTTGGCGGCGATGAGCTCCCGGCGTAGAGTGGAGGCGCGTTCAGCGGGGTGTTCATTGCCTCCGGCATAGGTCTCTTCTCTCCGCGCTTCTCTTCCTCATCGGCACTTGGTTCGGGCTCAGATCTCTTCTCACCTCTTCTTGCCTCGATGTCCATCTCCTCCATCACGCCATCACCAGCTGCACCTTGCGACGGGGTTGAGCTAGCAAGAAGTGACGATGGTGTCGAAACCCCTCCTGGCTCTTCATGGCTTGACTGTCTTGCACCTGACTGCGATGACGAACTGGAAGAGTCAGATCCAGCCTCATCTGGTGTCTTCAATCCTTTGGTCCTTCCATTGGCACTACCGGCATGTCCGGCACCACATTCGGCTTTGTCCTGTCTTTCATAACAGGAATCACGACCTTTCCCAGGCTGCTCAACGAGAACTTGAACGGTTTGCCTTGGAATTCTTTCAGCATGTGCTTGCTCCACCGTTCTTGTGGACTCAACCTTCGGACCGTTGTTGACAAGTACAAACCAAGCGCTGTCCCACACGCATGCATGTCGTTCGCGAGCGATTTTCCAAGCCACAGGCCTTTCACGAACTTCGGGCATCCTTTCTTTCGATGACCTTGACTCAATGCAAACAGAACCACCTCGCCGAAACATGCCAATTTCCCGTTGTAGGCCAAGCCAAAAGCTTTCTCGAACGAAGTCGTTCCAGCTCTGACTGCAAACGTATTCTGAAGCATTGAGGCATGAACATACGCCCAGCCTGCGATTTCATCTCTCGTTCGAATCTCCGCTCCCGATTGAGCCTTCACCTGTTCCAACAAAGTTGCCGCAAGATCTCGGATGTTTTGGACACATTGTTCCGCCATTCCATTTGTCGCAGGCTCATGAGGCTGTGACGGTTTCGCCACGGTCTTCCAGCCCAGCGTCGTCCTTGAGTGACAAATCATCTTGGTCAGGCTGTTGCAGCAGGCTCATTGTCCGACCTGATTGCAACTCCTTGATATCCCAAATAGGATATGAAGCCTAAGATTTCTTTGGCCGCGTACACCAAGGATTGATCACCTTTCGACTCTAGGGGTATGGCTCTTGACATTCCTGTCGTCTTGTCAACAGCCACCACCACAACCATCACATCTTTGTCCTTAGGAGCACTTCACATAAAATCTCGTTCACCTCCCGTGACATCGGTGAAAAAGAAGTCGAATGCAATGATTGGGTCCCCGCCATCACGTTGCTCCCCATCCTGACGGTGAGCATCTCTCCTTGATCTGCAACTCACGCAGTAGCTGCACCATTCCTTGAACGGTACATGAGGGAGCTCATGTCGGCTATTTCATCGGCTGTTGGTTGCTTAGGAAGTCGCTCTCCACGCGGTTGATGTTCATGAGGTTTCGCTGCATTCTCCAGCGCCATCGCATCCTCTAGAGCTCTCTTCTTCGAGTGACTCATCAGTCTCTGGAACATCACTTTCTTGGAACCAAACATACCCAGTCCGATCGTCTGGTTGGTCTATAGCTTGTCTAACATGCTCCCAACCCTTGACTCTCACTGGTGACAGAATGGCCCTCAAGAGGTTCCTCTTGCGGCCTGCCGACAGCGGGTCGAACCGCCGGCGCAGACGTCTCCAAACCTCAAACCCACCACCAGAGTTCACCACTATGCCCTCGGATTCTCCCGTGCACAGGCGCTGGAGTAGCCGCCACACTTGGTCACCCTTTTCCGGGATGTCTTCTACGGTATCTGCGGCTGCTGTTACTGTGCCACCGGGGTTAGCGGGGGTTGGGCTGTTACCAAACTGCAGGTCTACATCTGTGTCTTTGACTTCGTCTTCTTGCTCCTGTACCCACTCAAGTACCTCTTCAAACTTTCTTCCAAACACAGATGCCAACATATTGACGACCGACCGATCCCTCTACGGAACTCATCTTCCACATTGTTGAACCGTTCGGGTCTACCTAAGGCTTTGGTATCGAGCCTCATCGTTTGGCCTAGCTCTGCTACAGACTGAGCTAGGGCTGCTACCCCTGCTTGCCCCTGTTCTGCCTGTCGTTGCTGTGCCCTTAGCGCCGTTATCTCTGCCTGCATTGCTGCTATTGTTTGTTGTAGAGTTGTAGCTGCTGTACTTGTGTTGCATCCATTGTACCTACCCGCCCCTAACCCTCCTACCTGCAGCCCTGTCGCGCCCGCTCCTTTTCCCCCGGCGCGGCTGCGACGATCTCGGTGCTTGTTGCGGCTGGGCCACTGCCTTTGTAAAAAATGCTATTTTAGCTGCATATGATGGCTTCGGAGGGGCTATCAAGACCAGAGCTGGCACGAAGGGGGCCGCTGCTACTGGTACGGATGCCTTCCTTGCAGGCGGTGCAGCTGCTGGCTTGGCTCTCCTTTGCAGCTGGCTCTTCTTTTGCGTTTGCAGGTGGCTTTGCTACCGCTCTCGGCGGCAAAGGGTTTGCTACCGCTCTAGGTGGCGGAGATATCCACGCAGGCCTTGGGACTGCCTTTGCCGGTACCTTTGGCCCACTGGCCTTCTTGGCCTTCGGTACACCCTCCTTTGTCTCAAGCTTTACCTCCTTTGTTGCTGACTTCGGCGCTTCTTCTTCTTCTTCCTTCAGCTCCTCCTTTATCGCACGCTTTGCCCTTATGAAGGCCCTACCCCTGTTGAACCTGCTGGCTGCTACCTTCGCTGCCTCTGTCGCTTTTGCGCGGCGGTTGTCACACGACGAGCACGCCTCGTCTACACCACTTCGGCCCAACCACTTGTGCGCCAAGGCAGAACCTACCGTTCCCGGTCTGGTTCTTTCGGCCTTGCGCGCTGCAAGCCTTCGCACTTGATAGCGGGTGACAGGCTTTACCTCTGCACCTGAGGCTCTCGCGTCGGGCCTCCCTTTGTCTTTGCCGTAGAATCCGTAGAAGTACTCCAACACTGCGGTCCTCCACAAAGCCTTGCTTATCCCTACCGGGCGTTTGAGATTCTCCTTCTCTGCCCGGCGACGCGCGCGATTCGTCCACCTCTCTTTCCGGCGTTTGTAAAGCTTGATCTTCCAGGCCAGCCAGTCCAACTTCTTCTTCTTCTTTTCTTCTTCTTCCTCCTCCTCCTCGTTCACTTCTCTCTTAACTCCCACTCTCGGTGGGGCTTTCTTGGCTGCCTTGTGCCCTGGCGCAGAAGCTGCCTTGAGAAAAATTAAAGGAAGAAGATTCGGGACCCCCCTTTACGGGTTTCGCGAAAAGGATTTAGGGAATAGGGTTTGCTTTTAGGATTCAGGGGCTCTCCCTTTCAAGATTTAGGGGCTCTCCTCCTTAGAACTGAAGGATCCGATTACCCAAATTCTTATCCCTATATCCTACAGAGCGGGGTTCCTACATCTTGTTCCCTAGATTTATTCCCTTAATGTTACTCCCTAAGCCCTAAGGAGGGGCATCCTGGCATTTTCCAAACAATGTTATTCCCCAAGTCTTACTCCCTAAATCTTATTTCCTTAATCTCATTCCCCAAATGGTGTTCCCTAATCCCTAAGGAGGGTGGTTCCTCAATTCCTATAGAGGAGAGCTCCTGAATCCTATAAATCAGTCCTGTTCCCGAAGTCCTTTACGCTAGGCCCTAAAAACCCAGATTTCTGGAAATTTCCTGGAATGCACGAGCACCCCCCCCACCCCACCCCCGGCATGCACCCATGCCTTTTTCCAGAATCTCAGCTTCTGCAGATACGCCTGGTTATTATTACAAAGGGTGAGTGAGTGAAACTCATACTCTATATTTTCGTACATAAGCAGACGAGCCTGAAATATATTTTAACTATACATAAGCACGCAGCTTTCAGTCCGCAAGAAGATGACACAAGATGAAACTGATTCAAACTGATTCAAACCTTCTTCAACTTGAATAAGGCGTATTCAACTTGAATAAGGCTTATTATGGCTTATTCTACTTGAATAAGGTTTGAATCATTTGACTAAGTTTCTTTATTTTCGAAATGGTGCTTGTGCAACATTCCTTACGCGTCAGGCCGCTGCATTAAGGAAATAAGCTTTCGGGAACGGGAGCCCACCCTTTTGGGCTTAGCGCTTTAGGAAATGAAGGGCATTAAGAAAAGGGAATAAGGTGGGGAAGAAGATTTCGGCATCCCACCCTCTAGGGCTTAGCGGCGATAAGGATAATACGATACGATTTGAGAGTAAATTTAAAGGAATAAGATTAAGGGATCCCGCGCTTTAAGGTTTAGGGTAAAGAATTAGGCAATAATTGTTTTTTGCTTTCGGATTTAGGCTTAAGTTTAGGGTTTAGAGTTTAGAGGGGTTTAGGGTTTAGGCTTGCAGGATGTGGGGCTCTCCTAAGGGCTCTCCTCTTTAAGATTACGGACACCTCTTTGGGGCTTCGGGAATAGGACTTAGGGATAAGATGGGGATGAAGATTTCGGGATCCCACCCTTTAGGGCGTAGCGAAAAGGAGTTAGGGAATAGGATCTGTTTTTAAGATGTAAGGATTTTTTCTTCAGGGTTCGGGATTGAGAGTAAATATACGGCAATAAGATTAAGGCATCCCGCACTTAAGATTTAGAGAAAAAAAGACTAGGCAACGAATTTCATTTTTGCTTTCGGATCTAGGGCTCTCATAAGGGCTTGGCCGGGCATCTTGAATCTTGAATCTTGAATCCAAAGCCTTATTCAAGTTAAATAAGGCTTGGAAAATGAATAAGTTTCACCTTTGTTTTCCAAACGGTGCTTGTGCAACATTCCTTACGCGTCAGGCCGCTGCATTAAGGAAATAAGCTTTCGGGAACGGCATCCCACCCTTATGGGCTTAGCGTTTTAGCAATTGAAGGGCATTAAGAAAAGGGAATAAGGTGGGGAAGCCGGACATCTCACCCCCGTTTGCAAGCGACATAGCAAGAGGCCAAGCCGAGGACCTCACTCCAGTTCCTAAACCCTAAACCTTCAAGCCTACACCCCTAAGTAAAACCCTAAACCCTAAACCCTTGTGATCCCTAAACCCCCAAGCCCTACACCCTAAGGATCTTTATGTATGCTTTGTGAGAGATTGAGGTTGTATATGCAGCTTATATTGAGTTTCGATTGGCACGGCAAGGAAACCATCAAATAATACATAAAGGTCTGGGCCACATATATATGTATGTATATATATATATATGGCTTTCTAGGCATGTTTTGCACCTACCCGCGTCACCAACTATGCCAAACGTCCTGCATCTGGATAGGCGTTTACATGACCACGGTTGCGTAAGGTTTGGTGTCATGCTACTGGCACTGATTGACAACGGTTCCCGTGATCCCTGTTACTGCCGCGAGCTCACACAAAAGCATGACGAACTTTGCCTTCCACAGCTCCAGCTGGAACCAGGCGAGCATTCTCCTGCTCGTGGAGCTCAAAGCACTTGAATGCCAACCATGTAGATGAAACGATCACGAAGCAGCAAGATGCACAAAGAAATCGCTGTCCAGTGTGTAGATTGCTGCGGGATGTGCCGTAGCGTTATAGGTCCCATCCCCCGAGAATGCCACATTCCAGCAGCATCAGGAGTCTGAGGCACTCGCTTTCAAACCGGAGGTCGTCTTCCTGTCAGGTCCACAGGCGCCCTACGAGTGCACATGCTTTGCAAACAAGGTCAACCCGGGAACTCGAAAACCAAACCAAGAACTTGGATGCAACAGTGGACATCGTGCGCAAGTCGTTGAATAAATCTTCGTAACCTCTCCTCACGGCTCCGTCGAGTCTTCTTACACGTAGCCTCCTACGTCTGGACACGCCGGCCTCGTCAAGTCCTCCGTTGGCTGTTTTGTCATCCTCTTGTAGCCTCTTCCGTCAGGACCCACCCCGTCAAGTCCGTTTAGCCTCTGCAGTTCTCCTGTGAACCTGATGGTCCCCGTCAAGTCTTCCAATGACCTTTTGGTCTTCGCATAGCATAGCTTCTTCCGTCAAGACCCGCCACGTCAAGTCTTTTGGCCCTCTTCCGTTCTCCTCCGTTTGACCACGCCTGCGAATTTAAGTCCCCACCCCTGGTGAAAGATGAGGGGTCTATCTTTCAGCCCACCCCTGGTGGAAGAGGAAGGATCTGTCTTTCACCCCACAGCTACGGGCGGTGAAAGATGAGGTGTGCATCTTCCACTCCACACCGGGTGAAGATGAGGGGTCAGTCTTTAGACGAGGGGTGTCATTCGGGGTCCATCTTTCAACCCTAGCCCTGGTGAAATATGAGGGCTCTATCTTTCACCCCACCCACGCCATCTTCCGTTGACCGTCTCCTCTTCGCACCCTCTACCGTCAAAACATGATGGGATGTCGCGCCTTGCGCGGTGGGGCACTATAAACCCGGAAGCTTTAGACTTTAGACGTCGAGAACCGGAAGCTTTACGCCCATTCTGGGTCCCATCCCGTCCTTCCCCCGCCCCGCCCCCTCCCAGAGAGGTCCGGCCTGGTGGGCAAGCCGCTCAAGTGCTCAGCGGCCGTACTCATGGGGGCCCGCTTTCAGACTAACACTGTGGCTCGCTCTAGCGCGAAAGAGGACTTGCAGGAACTGGAATTGGGTCGAATGTTCTCTGCAAAGGAAACCATGTCCGGGCTTGGAAGTCTACAGTCTGCATGAAGACTCTGCAACCACTACATTAACTAGATTTGTTAGCGCCCGCAAAGAGCATACTTCCACAAATTTTGGCACGAACGAATTAAGTTCTCAGAGCCGGTGTGCGCAAAGGAGGAGGTCTTGCTGTTACTGATGTCTCTGTTCCCTTCCATAAACATGCAACCTGCACTCTGTGGGCTGGTTTTCGCAGAAGAAGTCAGAACATCGGACTGCCTTAGCTGGCGCAAATGGTCAACCCGTAGCATGAGACAGCTCAAATGTGTAACGAGCCGAGTTGCAATTGCAGCGCGGTAATAAATGCCGTATCGTCAAGGAGACTCTTCTTCCACGCCTAATTACACACACCCACACACACACACACACCCACCCACGCACGCACGCACGCCTGCCCGCCCGCCCGCCCGCCCGCCCGCCCGCACCCCGCGCGCGCTGCGCAGGCGCGCGCACAAACACGCACACACCACACACCCACACACCCACACACCCACACACCCACACACCCACACACCCCACACACCCACACACCCACACACACCACACCCACACCACACACCCACACCACACACACCCACACACACACACACACCCACACACACACACACACACACACACACACACACACACACACACACACACACACACACACACACACACACAGAGCGACACACAGCGACACACAGCGACACCCAGACACCCAGACACCCAGACACCCAGACACCCAGACACCCAGACACAGACGCACTCGAAGCGTGACAAAAAGAAGCTCTGGCCTCAAAGAGTCTCCAACCGACAGGCCGATGTCCTTTGCATTCTTCACCTCTTCAAGCGCCAAAAGGCACGCGCTAAATTCAAAAGCACCAGAGAGGCGAGAGCTTTCTCTCACAGAGCGAGACACAGAGAGAGAGAGAGAGAGAGAGACAGAGGGAGAGAGGGAGAGAGAGAGAGAGAGAGAGAGGGAAGAGAGAGAGAGAGAGAGCACCTCCTTTGTGATTTCGTCCTCCTCCACTGCCTTGATGCCGTGCCTGGTGTGGCTAGCACATTCCAAAGTCTGCAGTCACTATATCCGATATTGAATGCGGGCAGTATTGCCGTGGATTCTGGGATGTTCTGGGCGTGTGTGGGCCTGTGCCGGATGAAGGCGTCGCCTGAGAACACGAGCCTGGCAGCGGCAGCGAGCAAAAGAGCGTGGGCACAACGCAGCTACGAACAGAGCTACTAAGGCTACTACAAGGCTACTAAGGCTACTAAGGCTACTAAGGCCTACAGTACCCCCAGACCCCGAGATCCCGAGATCAAGGCAAACTTCCAGGTTCCAGGAGCAGGCTGAGCTGCGGCCTCTCTAATTCTCAGCTCTCGCTTCTGTTACGCCGGCTCGCCGGCTGAGTTCCAGACTTTGTTCCCGGAGGTAGCTCGGGCGCGGCAGGCACCTCCAAAATTCAGAAAAACCCAGGTTTCACGGTTTCACCCTACGGTGTGTGGAACTCTACCCATGATGGCCTCCTTATCTCGATCCCAAGCAAAGCCTTTCGGAAGCTCCTCCTCCAGGCCTCCAGCCAAGGATCAAAAGCGCAGCCCAAGCGCAGCCCAAGTGCAGCCCCTCCTCTTCCTGGGTCCCCCAATCTGAGACCCGCGCTTGGGTAGAAGTCGAAGATGCAGTGAGAGCCAAGGCTTATGATGGCGGCCTTTTCAAGCATGCCATCTTCGAGACGCTCTCAGGTCAACACGCTAAACAGGCCCGAACATGGGTCATCAAGGTAACCACATTTGAAGTCACATTTGTCTCACAAAAAACAACACAGACAGTATCTGCAAGACTTGCAAAAACCTCCTGCCTGTGTCGAACAGAAGTATTGCAGCTGCTGGTCACATGTTGGCAGATGGAGTTGCCAACACGACCCTAGTTTGTTGGGAAGCCTACGTGCCTGCTTTGACACCTTCGGAGCAAACTCGCCTCCACAGAGACCACGCGAAAAAAACCTTGCTATAGGAGCTCTAGGGACCATGCTGGGATCTTGGGACTCATTGCCTGCCCCCCTCCGGCGCTCCCCTGCTCCTTCCACGTGCCCTCCCATACCTCCTGAACTCATGACCTGCGTGGTGCTGCACCATGTGACATAGGACCTTCCGCCAAAAAGAACGTTCTCCGGCCCTGCTGGCAAGGCGTCGCGCACGAGCGTTTACAATTTGAAGGTACATATGACTCATATGACCTTATGAGCAATATGAGCCCATCAACTGGCTCCAGGTGGAAGGCCAGCGGCTCGTGGGAAGTACACAGGCCCGTCCAAGTGCGGAAAGATGCCTCGACGGGCAAGAGGCGGGGAATTCTTGGGATTCGCAGCGGAAGTCTGCCGTGGCAAAGCTGAGCTTGCAACCTTGGCCAGGCCTGGGGCTTCTGTGATCCACACTTAGCACTTACGATGGTCGTGGTCTTTCTGAGAGGCAATCTGTAGGTCCTGTAGGTCTTTACACGCGGCTCTCGCGCGATATTGGAAAGCAGCCAATGTACAACTGCAACGAGAGTGAAGGTCCTAGCCTTGCGGGGACCCAACAAGCTGGGCCGCAAAAAACGAAGCACCATTTTGAAGGCACCAATACGTGTCGAAACATATATGCTGCCTCGGAGAAAAGTCTCCGAGGCCCGCGCTTGTAAGCATTCAATCGGACCTGATCCGAACAGATTCTGCAACAGTCTTAAATAATGTTGCACCCTCGGGATCTGCCAGAAACCGACGCTGAGAAACCAACGCTGTTTGCGGGAAAGAGGACGGGGTGGAAGACTCCCAACGTCCCCAGAGCATCTACCAGAGTGCTTTGCCAAGCTGGCAGTGCCTCGTGCTGTCAAACAAGCACAATCAGGAAATGTGTTTGCTTTTGCCAGTGCTTTCCGAGCTGCGGCCCTCATCAAGCTTCGACCGCACGGACACTGGCTCGATGACCCGAACCTTCACCGAAAACAATTGAAGGCGATGTTCTCACAGCGCACAAGTCTTTGCACGAGGCTCCCACTCCTGCGTGTCGCGTGTTCTCATTCGCTCCCAATCGCCTTTTGGAAGCACGTGGCACCTGTACCCTTGCTGGCAACCGGCTCCCACACGCTTCATGACGGGGCGCAAGTCTTGTCGATGATTCTCTCGAACTCTTCGACTTGCTTCGGCCTCACTGAATCATAGCAAGCGGCAACAAGGGATAGGATTCCAGGATCGATAGGCAAGTGAGCAAGGACTGTTTCTGGCCGGCCAACACCAAGGCTGAGGCTCCAGAAAGTTGCGGACATAGTGAACATCGTCAATCTTGCCTGTCATGATGATCTGTACAAGTCCTCTAGAACTCTTGGGTTTGGGAGTCCTGCAAGGTGGTGCGGGACCCAGGACGGATGGAGCATGGGAAACGGCTCGGTGAGCTTGTCGAGCTTGGATAGCACATTGGACTTGGCTTTCGCGGGCAGCTCCTCCGCTTTGATCTGGACTTGTGACTTGACAATACTTGACACGTGCCAAACTCGTAAGCAAGGATGTTGGACGATGACGCAAACGACGTAAACAATCTGATGATGCAAACCCCAGGCCTAGTGCAAATGTCTCAAAATGTCAAGAAGAAACGTATCTCTGAGCACTTGCCCTCTTCAGCTCCCTGTCCCTGGGACCCCTTGCAAACTCTGGGACCCTCCAAGGGGCGTGTGCCAGGATACCCAAGATTTTTGAGATTTTTCGCTTCGAACCCACAAAGAACTGAGCTGGCTTACCCCCCTGGACTGGGGCTATTGCCTGAACCATTTTCTAGGTTCCGTGTTTTCTCCTGCGTCGGCGGCTTGAGCCGGAGGCTCTGAAATTCAAGCCTCTTAAGCTGTCTTAAGCTTTGTCCTCCAGTGGCTTCCGTGCAAGTGTTGACATGGCCAGGTTCGGAGATCGATGTGCATGGAAACGACCAACGACTCGAGGAGGCTGCTGGAATGCCAGGAAATGCCTTGGCAGGTAGCAACAGAATGCAACAGATACCCTGGGCCAAGTGAGCTGGATTTTTTGGGGCCGGGCCATTCTCCAACCCAGTTTCCACGCTCAGGAAACTTGCCCACTCCTCTGAACCGGTGGGGCTCTGTCCTTAAGATTGTGCTGCTGAAACCCTACCAGTCACTACCACACTCTCTGCTAGCTGTGTAGTAAGGATGGGGCTGAACATGTTTTTTGGAGGTTGCCTGAAACAACAAACGGGAATTCCGGGACAGAATCGCCATCATGTTGTGGCAAGTGCACAACGTATCAAACAACGTATCACAGCATATCACGGCCTCGTATTGGAAGATGTCGACCTGAAACCCCAAGATTGGGCCGTCGGAGATCCACACACCAAGGCCTCGTCCAAGAAGGTCCTGCACTCTCCCTCTTCAGTACTCTTTACAACTTTGCAGCTCCACGCTCTGAAGCGTGGGGTGAACGCATCAGGCAGTCCCCAGCTGTGGTCAGGTAGATCACCTCCCCAGCCTCCGTGAAGTGCACTCGGCCAAGGACCGCGTCCTCATTCGGGGGGCGGGGGGGGGGGGGGGGGAAAAGCGCCCTTCGAATTCGAATTTGCATTGCAAGAGCCCCCCGACCTCGCATTGCATGATGCAGGCCCGCAGGATCCATTCCCCAGCAAGCTCCGCAGCCATTAGGCTTTAAGCGCTTAAGTATCTTCACTCTCAACGTGTCTGGTGGTGTGATGCCATTCAGTCATGTCAGGAGAGTCTCATTAATCGGGCTTGGTCACCAGGTCTGTGCGGGGTGCGAGTGGGAGCTTGCCCTCGCAATTGTGTTGTTTGCTACCTGTGGGGAGAACTGTTGCGGGCTTGCGATTCGTTCTCTGCTCCGCACCCCATGTCTTTCTGAGCGTGCAAGCCACAAGCAGTCACAACATCTTGAATAGATTTGAACCGTCACACCGTCAAGAACACATCAAGACGATGAAATTCGAAACGATTATGACAAAACTTCTCTGCGTGCTCACCTGGCGTGTGACTGCATCTGGGTGCTCTTCCTTGCCTGACATCTGCAGTTCATGGGCGTGCCTGGGCATTTCCCTCGCACTTTATCAGCAACAGCCGCTTCCTGACCATTTGCTGGCCTTCCCCGCAGTCTCTGGGTCTCCAGGTCTTTGCTTCCCTCCAGTCATGCTTGACGCTGCTTTGAGATGGCCAGTAGTGACGGGCTTTAGTCCCCTGGGCGCTCACTTGTCGGGAGTCCTTGGGCCTGTCTGCAATGCTTCAAGTGTTGCACTGAAGTTGTTTCGCGCCGGCCTCAGAAGTAGGGATGGCGTCGTGTCATTTTAGGCTCCAGGGTTCCTTTAGCGCCGCCCTCAGCAGCAGGAGTGTGCCGAGAGCTTGGAGCCAGGCCTCCCTCAGAAGTAGGAGTTGGCACATTCCAAACGCTTACTTCCTTTTCACCTGAGGTTCTCAAAAAGGATTTGGCCCGAATCTGCATAAGGAGAGGCGAGGAGAAGCAGAGTCTAAGATTCGGGCAAAATCTGGTGGACTTGTGACCATAATTGCATGCCGTCTGTGCCTGAATCACAACATCACATCTTGGTGACCACTATGGGTGAGATTGGTTATTGAGAGCCCCAGCATGATACTTGAGAGGCAGGTTCGGGAAAAGGGTTTGAGACCCCCAACAATTCGGGCCATAAAATGGAGCCCACCATGTTAAAGTTAAGATGTCCTGCCCGGTCTGCCACAAAACTCCTCTGCCCTCGAAGGTCTCCGAAACACCCAAACCTCCCAGAGACCCCCGAGAGTTGAGTCAGCGTAACCAACCTGCGCCCTCATTGGTCATTTTAGATTTTGGAGGGCCCACAAGAGTCCCCAATCCCCCAGATGTTAACCCTTCGAGAATCCACCCGAGAATTTGCTGGACAACTCGTCTCTGGGGGCCCTTCTGGGCAATCCCGGAAAATACTCCAGACCCCAAGACTCCTTGCAAGGCTTTCGACCAAATATTGGAGGGTGCTTCCCAACAAGATGCCAGTTCCTGCCAGTTCCTGCATGCTGGGTAGGGCAGGGCGGCCCGCAAATTCCTTATCATCTGTAGGCATGCATGTGTTCCGTTTGCACGCTGCAACGCAACACGGACAACCCATTTGACATGGACGACCGGACGCTGCGCGAATGCATTTTTCAAAAGGGAAAAGGTGCTGAATGTATTTTGGCAGAGGCGAAGATTGCATTTGCATTTTGGTTTCCTGCGTCCGGGGCCTGTCTTTTCCGTGCGGGGTCGGGTTTACTGTGGTGTTGGAAAGAGGCAGCTACGCGAATGCATTCACACGGGTTCAGGTCTATGGTGTTTGGGGAAAGAGGCAGCTGCGCGAATGCATTTAGCCAGCCTTGAAAAATGCATGTGGGCATGTTTCTTTAGATTCTGCATGGGCCCCGTGAGAATTCCTGCGAAACGTCGAAGATGTTGCTAGACAAAATGTTGCTAGACGTGTTCGGGCTCTAATAGCTCTCCCTCTTTTGCAAACAAAAGCCCCCCCCCCCTTTCCAAACACAATGCTCGCATGATGTGTTTGAAAAAGACCCCCATGCTCTCCACCCCTCATTTGCAAACACAACGTTCGCATGATCAGAAAACATATGCTTTGAAGCAAGCTTGCGCGGTCAAAAAGAGCGCAGGGGCTGGGGGAGTTGGCGGGGGGGGGGGGGCTTGCAACACAATGCGCAGGGAGGTTGGGCAGGCAGCCTTAAAACAGCTACGGGGTTAAGGCAAATCCTGGAAACAGCAGAAGCCACCAGTTGTACACCGCCAGCAGTACTACCACAACTACCACAACTACCCCGGCGGCTACCAAAACATCTCCGCAGAATCTACATCCTGCACCCTTCCCCACTTCTGAGGGCTAGGGGATTAAAAGTGCGGGGAGCAGCCCCCTCACCTGCAAACTCGCATGATGGGTTTGAAAAGCGTGTGCGCCTTCAAAATCCCCCCCATTTGCAAGCACGATGGTCGCATGATGGGTTTCATAACAATGCCTTGAAGCAAGCTTGCGCAGAGCAAGGCAAACTCAGAAAATGCTGCTGTTTACAGTAGTTGCGACCTCTGAGAGCGCAGAAATGTTGCTATTTACACGCAACTATTTACCGTATTTGCAGCCTCTTGAAACCTCAGACATTCTGCTATTTACAGCATTTGCAGCCTCTGAGAACGCAGGAATGCTGCTATACACAGTATTTCTCGCCTCCTTTTCTCTTCCCCCCTTCCCTTCTCCCTTTCCCGTCCGTGCCCTGCATTCACACCTCTAAACCCACCACGATCGAGAAAACCTGTCTGCTTCATTCGATTTGCCCTGGCTGACAGGCGTCAGCCTCAACTCAAAGCCTGAAGCTCTTCCTTCAGGCTGCACTTCCGCGCCACCAGCCAAGCAACAGAGCCAGCATGCTCATGTCATGCAGGAGATTCCCGTGTCACCTGACAAAGGCTTATCAGCATGCTCGCCTCTGGCCTCTCATCAAACGCACCAACCACTAGGTACAGCGTCATGGAGCTTCTAGGGCGGAAAGGACACCCGGTGACACGCGGTGATGCTCATGATGCTCAGGAGCTTGGGGGGCTGCGTGACCGAAAGGAGACAGCGGCTGATGCTCCTGATGCTCACCTCCAGCCTCGTCAATCGCGCCCAGACACTGGAGCAATTGGTGCAGCAAATGTCTGGATGCTCAGGCAGGACTGTCACAGATTAGTACTGAGCTGGTTGGCTCTGTAGAATATGTGAAGAGTTGAGACAGTCGAGACCAACCCGAGTTGTGCCTCAGAGCCTGAAGGTGCCTTCGGGTGCAGAGCTGTTTTATCTCACCCGCATCGACTTCGCATCGACTCCGCAGGACTGGAGTCAGGTGCGGTGCATATGCAGGGGCTGCCGCCCGCCGACATGCTCACAGCGCCTTCAGAACCCAGGCAAAGGTGCGAACGATTGCACAAAGGGGCAGACAAACCCTGTGGTGTTCTGTGTGCCTCGATTGCGAGCTGCCTCAGGGCCAGGACGGTGCTGATCACCACGCCCAACGACACAATGCCGGAGATGGCAGACCGGCGCGTGCTGAGGTGATCCTGTCGAATGCGCAGATGAACAAACTTCCCCCCCTCACGATCATCACTCTTTTTCAGTCTTCTGCCCCCCCCCCCCTTGATTAATTCGGAGAAATGGAATGAATTAACTTCCGCAGAGCACTCGACTCACTTAAATGACCCGGCGCTTGGAAGCTTGCCTTGGCCTCATTAGAGTGCGGAAAGAGGGGACCCCCCTTGAAGTGATTTTACACTGTCTAGCCATGTCTAGAGCGCTTTTATTTAAGCTCTTTCAGGATTTGCTTTGCTTTTACTCTGATTCTCAGCTTCTCTCTCTGTCCTGCAAGTAGTGGACCAAGGACGTTCCCAGGAATGAAGACACCAAGTTGATGGTCCCGTAAAGCAGCATCAGAGACAAGATGACGCGGTCCTTATACGGAGGGAAAAGCAACTAAAGAAATCACGGTTTGCTTGAAGTGCCTCCTGTTCGCGTCTGCGCTTGCTCTGCACTTCGCTGACTGCGCTCTCTCCGAGCCCTGAGATTCAGCCCAGAGGCGGTCAGAAGATACCTCGGACCGCCGGCGCTGCGTTTCGGCTCTGAGCGCTCTCTCTGTCTCTCACTCTCTCCCTCCTGATGATGCGCTCTCTGCTCACATATGACAAGTCATGACTCCAATTGGGGTTGTATAAAAACCCCGTTATGAATCTATTCATCCGTTCTCGGGTTATCGTTTTTTCTTCTTGATTATCGTTTTACAGGGTTTTGTAGAACAACCTACAACTTCATGCCTTAGAACCGAACACGCTTAGTACTAGCTTGGTACTGGAAACGCCGTCCCCGTGAGCCGGCTGGATTTTCGTTGATTTGTAGTACAAGCTTAGTACTGGAACCGCCGTCCCCGTGAGCCGGCTGGATTCTCGTTGATTTGTAGTACTGGAACCGCCGTGCCCGTGAGCCGGCGGGATTTCATTGATTTGTAGTACCAGCTTAATACTGGAACCGCCGTCCCCGTGAGCCGGCGGGATTTTCATTGATTTGTAGTACAAGCTTAGTACTGGAACCGCTGTCCCCGTGAGCCGGCAGGATGTTCGTTGATTTGTGGTACAAGCTTAGTACTAGCTTAGTACTGGAAACACCCTCCCTGTATGCCGGCTGGATTTTCGTTGATTTGTAGTACAAGCTTAGTACTGGAACCGCCGTCCCTGTGAGCCGGCGGGATTTTCATTGATTTGTAGTACCAGCTTAGTACTGGAACCGCCGTCCCCGTGAGCCGGCGGGCTTTTCATTGATTTGTAGTACCAGCTTAATACTGGAACCGCCGTCCCCGTGAGCCGGCGGGACTTTCATTGATTTGTAGTACAAGCTTAGTACTGGAACCGCCGTCCCCGTGAGCCGGCAGGATTTTCGTTGATTTGTAGTACAAGCTTAGTACTAGCTTAGTACTGGAAACGCCCTCCCGTAAGCCGGCTGGATTTTCGTTGATTTGTAGTACAAGCTTAGTACTGGTGTCGCCTGCCTGCCGCGATGCAGCAATCAGGCCGTTTTATAACGTTATCGTTTTTTCTCTTGATTATCGTTTTACGAGTCAGGGGCACTGCCCCAAACGCTGAGGGCAGCTCCTTTCATAAATTGAATGCGCGGGGTTTTTATACAACCCCAATTGGTGTCTGCACGTTGTTGTCAAGCAAAAACTCTCTGCTTGCGGCGGGGAGTCTGAAAGGTTGTCGAGGATGCCGTGAAGATCACACAAGTCGAAGAGGTTGCCACAGCCACAGCAGGCTGGAGTCCCATCAGGAGGAAGTAGGGCGAAAAGATAAGTCCTCAGTTTTCTCCATTTTTGAGTGGTGTAAAAAGTTGCACACATGTTCTGGAAGTCTTACGTATCTTCTCCCTCTCCCCGGGACTCTGAGACGGTCCTCCTCCGATTCCGACGAAACCTCTCCGCAGCGGAACGCAATACGGGTCTGCAGAGTTCACAGAAGCGAAGCCAGAGAGTTGTGCGCCTGCTAGGCCGCCCGTGGTCGCACTCATCACGCTGAATTTCACTATCAAGGAAGATGACCAGTGCTCCTAAGCAGTTGATCGGGCTCCCGAAAGGCAGTCGCAGAGTCAGCCTATTGTCAGACACACACACACACACACTTAGCTGCCAGCATCGGCCAGACTTCGCGCCTTTGCTGACAGGGCTGTGCATGGCCGCTGCGACGCACGGAGAGGAGTGCGCTTGCTCGTTTTTTTTCGCACTCTCGGTCCCCCGGCCACGCAAGCCAGCACGGCGACACAAAAGAGCATTGGGCCAAGGAAGAAGAAAACCTGGCATTTTCGGCTTCGGTAGCTGTTGACGAATCGAAACGCAGACATGGCCTTGATGAAAGTGGCGATCACAGGAGTCTGCATCCAAGAGATCAGAATAGCAGGTTCCAGCCAGAAGAGAGTCGGATGATGGCAGGCCTCGCGACCGAAACGGGAACATCAGACTTGGGCACAACAATGTACAGAAAATAGGAGGTGATGACAAGTGTATGTTCAGTCTCATCGCTGAATGTCAATGTAGCTAGACTCAGAAGGAGCACACCTTGCCCTGATCCGTCTCCGACGCCCTCTGGCACTGTATCGCATGGTGCCGGAAAGCGCTTCCAGTCACCACAACGAAAAGCATCGCCTCTCACAGAATCGACATCCCCGCTTTTTGGAGACTGTCTATTGCTTTTATATAATTTTAAGTTGCCGACTCGTGCCCTCATTTTGCCCCCCCCCCCCCCCCCCCCCTTCCGCTCACTTGGGCGCGAGCAGCTGAGAGGATGACGTCTGTTCTCGTGACAGACTGCACCTGCAGCTTCCATGAGCTTCATCCATCTTCATGACATGACATCACATGTCTACTTAAGTCATGTCGGCTCCTCGCCTGGCTCACACAGCTCACGCTCACTTCTGGCACACTTTCCTGAGTTCACACAAGAAGACGTGCAAACCGTGAAAACCGTGAAAACGCGCGACGCCGCGACGCAGCATGTCCGATCTCCCACCACGGTCTCTCAGGCGTCAGCGGTCTTTACGTGCGCCAGGGAAGCTTTAGGATTCTCTTCCACCGTTTGGACGAAATGTTCTTCTTCGGCGTACCTTTGCGCGGCGCGCCACGTCTAAAGCTGTCTATTTCCCAACACGAATTTTTCTCGCTGTACTCGGCCAATATTGCCCAGAGGTGCTGTTGCCAGGTCGTCCGAAGGATCATGTAGGAGATGGCGACCAAGATGCCCACCAGTGCCAGCAGCACCGCCTAAGGGGGCCAAACTTGCAAAGAGAAGCGCATAAACTGAATAGATCTTAGATTGCTTCGCATGCCTTGTCTGTCATGTGTTGTGTTGTATATCTAGAAGGTGCAACTTCCTTCAATAGCGCAAGTCGTGCAAGGCCCGGGCCCAGGTGGGGACCAGGGAGTTCAAGAGGACGCCCAGGTAGGTCCCAATCAAAGCCGAAGGTACCACCTTGCACTTTAAGAGAAAAAGAGAAAGATAGCGAGAGAGATAGGGAGACAGTCAGAGAGAGAGAGAGAGAGTCCGTCTTGTATCGGCTCCACACAAACAGCGCTTTTAAAAACTTTCGCCGCCCTTTGAAGCCCTCACCGCCCAAATTACCTGAGGAGCCTTCTCTGTCACTGCCGCACACTCTGTCTCGCGTGCGCAAGCAACCGTAACATCGCAATCAGGCTTTGGAAGAGCTGCAGAGATTGCTGGCGACTGCGCCGTCCGCGACTTGTTTGCATGGCTTAACTTCAAACTTTCTTACACTTTTTACACTTTGAGGAAGGACATTTGGAATGACAGCCAGGATCCGGGCCAGCCGGCAGACATTGTAGTCAATCAGCGGATCGCTGCTGCTGGTAGCTTTCCTTCAAGCTACAATCCGCAAATTTGGCCCTGTACCATGTTTGCCCTATGTTGCCCTATAGCTGTCCTCAAGTTCAGGAAGAGCGAGGAGATGGATCCAATGAAAACGACGGCTTTGGAGAGCGGGACAGCGTCCCGAACGGACAAACCTAAGAGGCACTCTGAGAGTTGGCCCAGCTACTGGATGTGCCCTCGCCCAAATCTCGAAATGTGGCGCAACAAATTCTGCTGAGCTCTCACGGACTGCCATGGTTTTGCAGCGAGACTTTCGTGGGTATCTTTATTTCGGTGGCCTTTTCTGTCCCCTGTCCCGGCCTCCAGCGACCATCAGAACTGTCACATATATTCCTGAGCCCAGGCCAGGCAGTGGGCCCTTCTTTGCAGCTACAGCCATCACCGTCCTCCACCACCAATGCCCCCAGCAGCGCAAAGGATACCCGCCGCAGCCATCACGAAGCCACAGTTCCAAGCCTTGACCAGAGCTCGATCCGCCAAAGAGCGAAAGATCCGCATTCCACACGTTCTGACACATTGCATACGCTCGCCAGTTCCTATCAGTTCCTATATGTACCTATGCTCTCCGACTCTAAATGGTGCCTCGTTTGTCCGAAGTGCATCCGCGTCGAACACCTCAGCAAAACAGCAAAAGCATATGCACAGACAGCCACGGACAGCATCGCGGACGGCTGAAGTTTCGAGGGAAGCACCCAGAACGGCCGAGCGGGGCCCTGAAAAGGAGAAGAATTTCCAACATTTTCCAACCTTCCCCGACTTGAAACACTTGAAACACGACTTGCGTCGGCTCCTCGTCGTGCTCGTTCTCTGCCGGCTGAGCCATGAACTGCTGCGCCTGTCTTGGCGAAAACTGTCTCCAGCATCCTTCACCCCATCATGACATCCCCCAAAACAGGCACGTGTTTGCAGGGTTGCAGGGTGTCTTGTGATGCGGAATTCCTTAAAGGAGTGGCTAAGTGCACGTGGACCTCCTTGGGATCGGCCTCGAGCTTTGCAACGAGAGCCTCTGCAAGGCAAAACGTCGCGATCCTCCAAGCCCAATCCCTCCGCATCTGCCCCATCTTAGACATGTCTGCCATTCTATACCTATTATATATATATATATATGCTACCCCCCCCCCCCCATGCGCCCACGCTTCAGCATGGTTTCCAGAAAATATACTAGGTTCCGCCCTGCGCGGTGGCTTTTAAAGGGGGGAGGGACTCCCATAAAAACTCCAGCAGAAGTGACCTGAACAATTTGCTCGAGATTGTGGATTGCATGCCATGAATTTAATAGAAATCCTATGCATGTGAATAGCGTTCCTATCAAATTAATGTGGTTCATAGGATTCAGTAAATCTTATTAAAATGAAAAGGAAACCCTTTAACATGAATGAGAACCCTTAATTCGATTAAATTCTATGGGAACCCCATTCAAATGACAGAATCCTATTTAAAATTGATAGGAATCATATTACATTTGTAGGAGCCTTATTAAAATAATTCGCCTCGGCTTCCTGCCGAGAAGCGTCTGGAACAAGCAGACCCGGATCGGGCCTCCTCCCCCCTAACCCAATTTTTTCCCATGCAAAATTTTCTGACGCCACCCCCCCCCCCCCCCCCCCGCCCTGTTCGACCCCCCCCAATCGCTTGCCCCACCCCCCCCCCCCCCCCGCCCCCCCACCCACCCCCCCCCCCACCCCCCCCCCCCCCCCCCCCCCCCCCCCACCCCCCCCACCCCCCCCCCCCAAGAGGGCCCCTACTAAAATTAATAGGAACCAATGGGACTGCTATAAAAAAAGAGTGTGAACCCTTAAAGAATGGGAGTCCCACTGAATTAATATGAGCCTAATCCCTTTCAAACGAATGAGATCCCTATTAAACATTGATACGAATCCCATTAACATGAGTAAGAGCCTGAAACTGAGAGGAATCTTATTGCAGTAGTGGGAGCCTTATAAAAACAATCAGGAACCCTATGAAACTTTATTTGCATCCATGAAATAAATAGGAATCTTTCATTGAATTCATAGGAATCAAAGTTTCATAGGGTTCCTAATTTTCTAATAAGGCTCCTACTAATGTAATAAGATTCCTATCAATTTTCGGGTTCTTATTCATGTTAATGCGGTTCGTATTAATTTAATAGGGATCTCATTCGTTTGAAAGGGATTCCTATTGGTTTAGGCTCATATTCATTTAGTAGGCTTCCTATTCATTCTTGTTAAAGCAATCTTACTTTTTCATAGGAGTCCTATTAATTCCTAATCTTAGTAAGAATCCTTCTCATTTTAGTATGGTTCTTATGACTTACCACCGCGTTCTTTTTGATTTGTTAAGGTTCATTCTAATAGGCTTCCAATTAGCTTTTATCCGAAAACAATTTGATAGATTGGAATCCTATAAAAATATAGAGGAATCCTCTATTGAATTCATAGGAATCCTGCCAATATTTTTCGGAAAAGTTAATAGGAAGTGTGCACATGATGCTCGTCGTAGCATCAGGCATGCCGTGAAACATTAGAGTTTAGTTGCGAAAACGCTGCACTGTCCCAAAAAAACAAGCTTTTAATGCCAAAAAGTGCAAAAATGCTGCACTGTCCAAAAAGAACAATCTTGTTAAGGCAAAAAGTGCAAAAATTCTGTACTGTCCCAAAAAAACAAAAAAACCAAAGTTTGGAGACCTTGCGCTCCTCCAGGGCCTGGAGGTCTCCAAACTTAGGTTTTTTTTGGTTTTTTTTGGACAGTACAGCATTTTTGCAGTTTTTGGCCTAAAAGCCTTGGTTTTTTTGTGACAGTACAGCGTTTTTGCAGTCCCAGGCCTCGAAAGTGCTGTACTGTCCCAAAAAAAACCTATCTTTTTAAGGCAAAAAGTGCGGAAATGCTGTACTGTCCCAAAAAATCAAAAAAAAACAAATCCAGGGCCTGGAGGTCTCCAAACTTTGGTTTTTTTGTTTTTTTTTTGGACAGTACAGCATTTTTGCAGTTTTTGGCCTAGAAACATTGGTTTTTTTGGGCGTTTTTGCAGTCCCGGGGCTCGAAAGTGTCCCAAAAAAAACAACCTTTCTAAGGCAAATTTGCAGCTTTTAAACCTTGGTTTTTTTGTGACAGTACAGCGTTTTTGCAGTCCCAGGCCTCGAAAGTGCTGTACTGTCCCAAAAAACCAATCTTTTTAAGGCAAAAAGTGCGGAAATGCTGTACTGTCCCAAAAAATCCAAAAAACAAAGTTTGGAGACCTTGGGCTCCTCCAAGGGCCTGGAGGTCTCGAAACTTTGGTTTTTTTCGTTCTTTTGGGACAGCGCAGCATTTTTGCTTGTTTTCGCGTAAAAGGATTGGCTTTTTTGGGACAGCACAGCGGTTTTGCATTTTTGGGCCTAAAACATTGGCACAGTAGAGCGCTTTCGTGCTCGCTGCCTTAGGAGGCTTCGAAATCCTAAGCCTCTGAACCCTACCATGACACCTGAGAGGAAAAGTGTGGGCATATGGGGGGGGTACCATATATATACATATATATGGCACCCCCCCCCCCTCCCCAAAACCCACGGTTCCATATGCTCTTCCCTGCAGTCCGACAGATCGGCCTGCCAGTTTGGTCACGCTGCCAGTTTGGTCATGGTAGAATTTTATTACTTCATTACATATTTCCCCAATTTCACTTATTTGTCTAATGTAATTAATTTCATGACTTAATGAATTTCGTTGATTCCAAAAAGCTTAATTCACATAACTTGGTCCACTCAGCAGTTGCTCGAGCGAGTGCTCAAACAGAAGTGACCTGAACAATTTGCTTGAGATCGTGGATTGCTATTAATTTTAAAAAGATTGCTGTTAGTTTTGCTTGGGTTCGTTTTAAATTTGATCGGTTTCATGCGGTTCGTATGAATTCAATAAGAATCCTATTTAAACCAATAGGAACCCCATTAGAATGAATGAGAACCCTATTGAAATTAATGCGAATCCTTTTTTAAAAAACTTAATAAGAATCCTAGGACCCTTTAAAACAATAAGAGTCGTTCTGTGAAATTATTTTAAACCTTATTAAAACTTTTAGTTCATAGGATTGCAATTACAATGACTAAGAAATACAATAAAATTTCTTGGAGCCCAACTGAAATGAATAGGGAACAGGATTCAAAAAATAATAGGAGCACTGTTGAATCTAGCAGGAATCCTATGAAAACAATTAGGAATCCTTTTAAATTAATGAGAAACCGTGATGAAATGAATACGAAGCCTATTCAAATATATCAGCAGCCTATTTACATGAGTAGGAAGCTTATTATAAAGCAAAAGGAATCCAATTCGAAATTGTACGACATCTGATTAATTGGAATAAGAAGCCGATGAAAATTCATAGGAATATGTTTAAAGTTTGTTACGAAGTTTTTGTTTTAAAAATTGTTAGGCTTTCCTTTAAAATACTAGGAATAAGAAAGAATGCTATTAAAAGTACTAAGAATCGTACGCAAACTACTTGGAATCTGATTAATATGAATAGGAATCAATATTAAACCCATTAAAGTTTACAGGCACCCTTTAATTAGCATCCTTTACATTTTAATACGAACTCCAGTAAACAAATACAGGAATCATATGTAAAAACAATTTGAACGCTAGTAAAATTGTTCGGAATCTTATTAATTAATTTAATAAGAACTCCCATTCAAGTGAACAGGAGTGTTATGAAATTGAATAAGAGTCGCTAATTCGAAAATGCAATACTAAACACTTGACTTGCGTGCGTATATATGTGTTTCCGTTGTTTATACTTGTGCTTTTCTTTTTTTCTTTATGTTTTGGAACTGCCATAATTCCAGAATCCCAGAATTCCAGAACTCCAGATTTTTTGGGGCCCCCAGTTCCAGAATTCCAGATTTTTTTGGTGCCCCCAGTTCCAGAATTCCAGATTTTTTCAGACACCTAGTTCCAGAACTCCAGATTCTGGAATTCTGGAACGGGGCCTCTCAGAAATCTGGAATTCTGGAACTGGGGGTCTCAAAAGAATATGGAATTCCAGAACTCTGGAATTCTGGAACTGGGGGCCTCTGAAAAATCTGGAACTAGAAGAGGGATGGATCGATTTGCCGTGCGTCGACTCCATGCACTTGACTCTTTGCAGTCGAACTGTATGCACTTGCAGAAGTGTATGCACTTATATGGTTGCATAATGTTGCATATTCACTTGTATACTGCACTTGTATACTGCGCGTGCTATGCACTGGAACTGCATAGCATTCAAGTGTGCTGACTTGAACGCCATGCACTTGTGGTCAACTGTATACACTTCATCGGCATTGAAGACAACGCCGAGCTCCAGTGGCTGGTCGCAATTCGAGTCCCAACAAAATTGCGAGGGTTTCGTAACCTCGGACGAACTCGAGCCCCGCGATATTTGCGAGGTTTTCGAGGAATTCGAGTCCCACGATATTTGCGAGGTTTTCGAGGCCCCGGAATTCGAGTCCCACGATATATACGAGGTTTTCGAGGCCCCGCAATTCGAGCCCCACGATATTTGCGAGATTTTCGAGGAATTCGAGTCCCGCGACGTTTGCGAGGGTTTCGACATCCCGGAAGTCGAGCCCCACGATATTTGCGATGGTTTCGACATCCCGGAATTCGAGTCCCACAATATTTGCGAGGTTTTCGAAGCGCCGGAATTCGAGTCCCACGAAATTTGCGAGGTTTTCGATGAATTCGAGTCCCACGATATTTGCGACGGTTTCGACATCCCGGAATTCGAGTCCCACGATATTTGCGAGGGTTTCGGGGAATTCGAGCCCCGCGATATTTGAAATGGTTTCGACATCCCGGAATTCGAGTCCCACGATATTTGCGAGCTTTTTCGACATCCCGGAATCGAGTCCCACGATGTTTGCGAGGGTTTCGACATCCCGGAATTCGAGCCCCACGATATTTGCGAGGTTTTCGCGCACGCGGAATTCCGCTTCCATGCTGTTTGCGAGGTTTTGAAGCATGCGGAATTCCGCTTCCATGCTATTTGCGAGGTTTTCAAGCATGCGGAATTCCGCTTCCACGCTATTGGCGGCGTACTACGTCTGCGCTACAAAAGGTCGACTTTCCAGCCACTGAAGCTCCGGGCGTGCGCGGCGTACTACATTTGTACTACAAAAATCGACTTTCCAGCCACGGAAGCTCCGGGCA